AGGAGGCCCACGCTGCGCGCCAAGAGGCGGAGGATTTCCTGCTGGGTACGGTGGACCTCATGCTCAACTCGCCAGACGCCTTCGAGACGGCTCTGACGTCCCACGAGCTAAGTGAATCCCCCATAGGACCGAAGCGAGATGACGATAAGGGAGGGGAGTGACCGGTGAGGGAGGCCATCGGCAGCATGATGTGGGTGTCGACTTTCTCGCGTCCAGACGTCTCGTTCGCCGTGCGTGCGGTAGCGCGCCACGCCCACGCCCCGGCGAAGCGGCACTGGGATGCCATACAGAAGATCCTCGGCTACCTGAAAGGGACGAGGGACCTCGGCATCACCTACCAACGGGGATCGGGGTTAGGGCTTGCCGTGTACGTAGACGCTAGCTACGCCGACACGGAGGATAAGCGTTGGGTGTTAGGGTTGGCGACGATGGTTGGAGGTACCGTAGTCAGCCATGGTAGCAAAACACAGAGCATCGTCTCTCTGTCTTCGACGGAAGCCGAGTACGTTGCTGCCGGGGAGGGCGTCCAAGAGGCGTTGCTTGTGCGTGCTGTGCTTTCGTTTGTTGCCCCAGCAACCAGTGGTAGCAGCATCGAGGCAGTCAGGGGGCCATGGCGTTGGTGCAGACCCTCTCAGCCCAGGTCACACGAAACACATCGACGTGAGATTTAATTTCATTCGCGGATTGTTTAGGTCGGGGGATATTTCGGTCAAGTTCGTTCCGACAACGGAGCAGCACGCGGACCTCCTAAACAAAGCCCTGAGCAGGGCTAGTCTGCAGTACCACCGGCGCAAGTTGATGAATTTGCTGGTAGCTGTAGCAGTTTCTAGCACTTGGGAGAGGCCATGTTTTCTATGCGGGAAAAGGCGCATAACTGTTGCGGACTGTGTACCAATGGCAGGAGTAGGGGGTGTTGGGAGACCATCGTCCGGGGGAACGTAGTTCCTCGCGTTCTTGTCTTCGCCTTGACCTTTCTAATAAGTGCGGCCGTTGTGATCCGCTGTGATAGCGACGGTTTTTGTGGTATTTTATTTCAGCGGTTTTGCCCTGACGCCGGGTTTCCCCTCCATATATTACCATGTTGGCATTTTCTGATGTATCCAGGGGCGTCCTTGCCCCATTGATGGTTAGTCACTTGACTGAAGAACCAGGGAGGGTGTTCGTGGGTCTGCGAACATTTGTGTTGGATACATGTGCTGGATGATTTGGTGTCAAGCAGACTGGTAAGATTGCCGTTTGGTAGGGGGCACCGCGATGATTCACGGGGCCCCTCCTTGCTGTGGGAGCCGCTCTTTGAGCACTCCCTCTTTCGTCCGTGTGAAGGACGGTCGTCGACCTCTTGTGAAGTTAATACATCACCGAAACAGTCTCACTCGATAAATAAGTGGCGTAGGCCGCAAACAGGATTGCGTCTCATTTGGCCGTAAATCAGGCGATGTGTCCCGAGTCATTCCCTCTATTTTCCGAGTTGGGAATGCACAAAAACCCACGCATGGTATCTGGCCGCAATAAGTAGAAGTTCGTCGAAATGAAACCGGGTGTTGGCGGATGATGTGAAAATCGAAATTAGGTTACTTAATATTTGGACGAATAGCGCATGCCGTTGCGTTCGACACGTGTGCCTTACGACTACACAGGTGGCCAGAGGCAGGTTGTGGGTAGGTTGGGGCACCGATTACAACCTGGGGGAGCAGGTCGTAGTGACGTTGCAGCGCACAGTGTGCAAGTTTTCCCGCATCTCGGAGAGTGGCGTTATCCCAACCAACACAGCGGACAGCAAGCCGAAAGAAAACATGGTTTCAAGGATGGACTCGGCCTCCCAACCNAGATGCCTTTTGCCGTTATTCAACGCTACTCTCCTGTCGCTTCGACCCGAGAACAATTTTGTTGAATGAAGGTATATCCAGCGGTAAGGCACGTAGATGTAACAGTTCCAGTGCATTTCCACCTTAACCATGTTGTCTTTTGTCATTGTTATTGAATCTCACGCGCTTCCAACTCATGTTGAATACAGCAAATTTCTCCCATCGTATTCGAAATTGAATACAGCAGTGGCCTTGGGTTGGCAAAGAGGCACGGGCAATGAATGCTTCTTGGAGCGAGGGTGTGGTCGCTCAGTGATGTCGCTAATCATAATCCTATGCTTCACGGGGCCATCGCATCTCCTTCGTGCAATGTGTCTTGGTTGGTTGTGTCGCAACAATTATATCCCATTGTGTGCGTTCGTGACGGCAGGCACGCCCGTCGCCACCAACGGAGTGGATAGAGAGGAGGTGGTAAGCTGTGCACTCCCATCACCGGGAAAGGGGATCATTCTGTTGGGACGAATATGGTTGCTCCGATGTGCATTCTTACGTCCTGGATGTGCAATGTGGCTCTCGACGTAGTCTGTCCGGTTGAATTTTGCCACAACGTGACCCCCACTTTTTCTCGCTCATTTTTAGGAATTGAATCGTGAAAAAAAGTTGGCAAGAACCGCACGGTCGAGAAGCATCGAAATCCGCGGTCAAAAAAAAAATCCGTGTATTTGGCCACTTTTTGGCGAATTTGACCCCCCCCCGAATCGATATTCGCATCGATCCGCTCACAA